CTACTCCCAAATCGGGGTCCGGAAAAACGTGGGGCGGGAACCAGACCACCCGCCTTCCGCGGTGGGAATTGCAGGGCGGGGCTGGGTTTCTGCGCCGTGAAGGTTGCTCAAAGGTCTGGGAGCCTGGGGGGCCCCAGAGAGTCTCGTGAGGATGGTGGCATTAGAGCTAAAAATAGCCAAATGTAGGGAAAAGGTCACCGATGTGTCAGCTGTGCCTTTTCTGGGATCGCTGGTGCTCCGGGCGGCATCCCCACCTCAGGGTCGTCTTCATACCCCCATCACTCTCCTTCTCCTCCCCAAGTCCTAGTATTTACTATTCTAAGCTGGAGCCAGGGGAGTGGGGAGGGATGGGGGACCCCCATTGGCAGCATGAACCCTAACCACTTTCAAGCCCACGGCACTGAAGAGTCCCTCTGTGTGTACTGCTTGGTTTGGTACTTTCTGCTGCTGCTGCTCAGCAGGGCCAGGACAGGGCGCGAAGGAAGAAGTTTGTTTATTGTGTTACATACACAGCACAGGGCTCTGGCCTGCCAGCCATGGAGACCTACTCAAACTCAGGGAGAGGCCGGTCTCCTGAACCTCAGTTTCACTTGGGGGCTCAGCCCAGTCCCCAGGGCCTTCTGCTCGTTGCTCCTCCCTCCAAAGTCCCGCCCTGGAGGCTCCAGGAGAAATCCAAGGAGTGGGAGGGTGGAGAGTCAGGGTGAGGAGTGGACACTGGTCAGCTGCCCCTTCTGCTGGAAGTAGAACTGGAACCGAGACTGGGCATAGTCCTAGGGAAGGAAACCCACCCCACACAGTGGTGAGAAGACGTGGGACCAGCATTCTGCACCCACCTCAGGCTGCCCACAGCCACCCAGGACTCCCCAGGCCTACTGGAAGAGTGTGGCTGCTGCTGCTCCCCAGCCCCCAGCTAGCAGCATTCCCATTCCCAGGGTCACTTACCAGGTAACCAAATTCTATGGTGGACATGGATGCCTGGAGGATGGACCACAGACCCCAGAAGAAATGGGACGCCAGAGCATACCTGGGGGGAGGGCAGGAAAAGTAGGGGTATTCAAAAGCACATCTGGCTCTGCTTGGATCCCCTCACCCAGGCTGGCCAATCCCTACAGTTTTAACTTCTCCCCCACTGTGCTAACCCCACTCTGCACAACCACCTTCCCTGCAGCTTGATTAATCTGCCTCTTCCCCAATCCCCCTTTCCTCTGCTCTGCCCTACCCCACCCCGCCCCTCCTTCCTCACCGACTGACTTCTACCAGCAAATCTTCTTCCAGTTTTCTCTGCTCCTCTTGGGACAGGGTCTCACCTTTCTTCGCCTCTGCCAGGTAATGGCGAATAAAATGCAGCTGCGATCAACGGCCGAGAGTCAGGAATTGGGGAGACTGTGGAGTATTTCCCAGGTAACATCCTTTCCAGCCATTCCTTCCAGACTCCACCTCCCTCCTTCCTCACAGGATGGGTCCTGCTCCCCAGCCTCTGGCCCACATACCTGCTGTCCTTGAGTGGGGTAGTCTGTGGGCCTTGCTTTGTAGAAAGGCCATTCCTCGTGAGTATAATCATAAACCCACTCACAAAAATGGTTCCCAATGTCAAAGCCCCTGGGAGAATAAGGTGGACATTCAGTCCCCAAATGCCCTGGGCAGCTGGCCTGTTTTCAAGTGCCCTGTGGGAACAGATCTATGGGAAGCCATCTTTCCAGCCTCACCTATAGTTATAACTGCTGTACTCGAAGTCCACCAGCATGAGGCTGTCAGCATTTTCTGGCTCTGAGAGCAGCAAGATGTTCCCTGGGGGAATGGGGTGAGGTTCTGCTCACTCCAGAGCCCTCTGGCTCCTCCATCTTGGGTTGGGAGACTCCGATGCCTTCTCCTACCTTCCTGGATGTCATTGTGGCAGAAGACGACTGGCGATGGGGTAGACTCTAGTAACTTCCTGCAGGGGTATGGGAGCATGGGTCCTGAGCAGGAGTGACTAGAGAAGGATCAGAGCCACACTAACAGGCCAGGCCCTGACACCAGCCCTCAGCAAATACTGGAAGGGCCGACACCATTACCATTAGCCTTGTCCTGCCTGCCCTCACCTGAGGTTGCCCATCTCATCCTTCAGGCTGTACATCTCCAGCAGGTTCATCTCAGGGAGGCCAGTTGGGGGCAGGTCCTGGATCTGTTTTAGGTACCTGAAGCCCAAAGAATAGGATACACTGGCTCTGATATTCTTTCCCATCCCTCTCCTATCTACCCCTCAGGCCAGACTACTGCACCCCTGCTCTTATCACTGTGTGACTTGTCTGGCAATCATTTCTTCTTTCTTTTGAGATGGAGTCTTACTCTGTCACCCAGGCTGGAGCGCAGTGGCACGATCTCGGCTCACTGCAACCTCTGCCTCCCTGGTTCAAGCAATTCTCCTGCCTCAGCCTCCCGAATAGCTGGGACTACAGGTACACGCAGACATGCCTGGCTAATTTTTTGTATTTTCATAGAGACAGGGTTTCGCCGGTTGGTCTCGAACTCCTGAGCTCAGGCAATATGCTCGCCTCAGCCTCCCAAAGTGCTAGGATTACAGGCATGAGCCACCGTGCCTGGCCTTGGCAATCATTTATTTTCTTTTTTTGTTTGGTCTTTTGAGACAGAGTCTTGCTCTGTCACCTAGGCTGAAGTGCAATAGCACGATCTCAGCTCACTGCAACCTCCGCCTCCTGGGCTCAAGGGATCCTCCCACCTCAGCCTCCTGAGTAGCTGGGATTACAGGTGCCTGCCACCACGCCGGGCTAATTTTTGTATTTTTAGTAGAGATGGCATTTTGCCGTGTTGGCTAGGACGGTCTTGGAACTCTTGACCTCAAGTGACTCACCCACCTCGGCTCCCAAAGTTCTGGGATTACAGGCATGAGGCACTGCTTGTGGCCTCTGGCAGGCATTTCAAAGCCTGTTCTGCGAGAGCCCATGATATCAAATCCTCTCAAGTGGAGGGCTGGATAGAGCCCCGGACACATCTGCTGGCAAAGAGGTTCAGCTCAGCTGTACAGGAGCCCTGAGGAGGCTCCTGACTCACCGCTCCATGGTCCCAAACAACCAGTGGGGCTCCTTGGTGAAAGGCATCTCCATGCCATGGAATCGCGCCATCTTCGTGGCAATGGCTGCTGACAACACTGGCTCTCGAAGCTCTTGAGTTTTCAATGGCCGGCTCTGCACCCAGGAAGCTATCAGGGTGGTGATGGGGCTGGGGCAGGAGGGGGAAGGATTGGGGCATGGGGGGAGGTCAGGGTTTGGGGGGAAATTCCCTACTTGGGGTGAGGGATGTGAAGGCAGACATTGGGCACTGGGGTAGGGTTAGGGAGTGGAGGTGCCTTGGGGAGGAGAAGGTAGGACTGGGCTCGTACTGGGATGTACTGTTCCAGCCGGCCCTCTGGGAAGACGCCATACAGCTGGGGCCCCAGCGACCGCTCCGCAAGGATGGCAAACATCACGCTTTCCAGCACCAGGGAGTCCACGCCCTGAAAAAGGATGGATAGCAAAAGGGCCAAGGCAAAGTGGCACAGGGACAGACATGAGGGCTTGCTTTCCTCCCACCAGAGCTGGGACTTCTGGTCCAATTGCCTGGAGGCTCTGGAGCACAGGCTTTCGCGTTGGTCTGTTTTTATTTAGAGATGGGGTCTCACTATGTTGTTCAGGCTGGTCTCGAACTCCTGTGCTCAAGTGATCCTCTCGCCTCAACCTCCCAAAGCGCTGGGAATACAGGCCCAGGCTTCAGTGTGAGAAGGTGTTACTCAGACTGTGAGCCTCGCTGTCCTTAACTGCGCAATGGGGACACTACTACCCGCATCCCGTAAGCGGCAGGCCCTAAAGCCACCGGCGCTGCGGCGCTCACACCCCGCTCACCTGCAGGATGGCTCCGTACAGCCGCAGCAGCACCTCCCGGGGCTCCTCGCCAACGCTGGGCAGGTGGTCCGGGAGCGAGC